TGTTGAAAAACAAGCATATTCTGATTTGGGAGGAAAAGCTTCATCCCTTTAACATCTGAGTTATTACTGATGGCATAGCATGAATGATACTGGGTGTCTGAGGGTGTCATTACTGAGAAATGTCAAACAAAATCAAAACCTTACATTTGAAACAGGTTTGCATTCCTCCACTTAAGGTGACGTTATCATTGGAAACAATAAAAGCTAATTGTTTTGATGTAGAATCTATATATTGAATCGTTAGAGCAGAACAGAATGGTTGTATTGTAGCCTGAGTTTTGTGCAGCCTTTAGTTTTACCAGGTGGAAACATTGTCTATACAATGTGAATACATGTAGAACTAGACTTAAGAGACCCCTGACATTAGGCCTATTTGAACAATAGTAGGGGCTTTACCAGCGCTCGCCAACTTACAGGCATCCTCTGCATAGCAGTATGAATAGCCTTAAAAACAACCCACTGTGCGGTAACGAGAGTCATGCATCTGAACCAAATGCCCTAAGTGAAGCCGTTAGTCTCATCTGACTGACCCAAGGGTTGGTGCTGGTGTGACAGGGAGGCTTCCAAGTGTTTATAGCAGATGTCATGCTTTCAGTTCAGGCTCAGTGGGGGGGAGCAGACCATGTGAGACAGTATCAACGGCTGTAATGTTCAGTTTGAGGAGTCATTCTCTCTGGGAGCAGGAAATGGTGTCCATTCAGACCAGACCATTAATGTCATGTAGAGCAGCCATAGCATCTCTGTGACTGCACTCAGCCGGACTGCAGCAGGGCAGAACTGGGTGACTTTTAGTGAAGCCGTCCAAGGCCATAGACAAAATGGAACCACGTACTAACAAAGGGACACAAGGTCATCAATGTCTCTCTTTACCTTTGGTCTAATTGTAAAACAAATTAGTGGAAGAAATGTGGAACCCTAATCCATCATCATGTGACATTTAGAGTTAATTTACTTAATTACTTATGGGTTGAAGTCAAATTAACATTAACATTAGAACTAAAGTCAGTTAAAATTGGACTTGCACGATCAGAATCTAATCAATACACCATTTTCCCAGCTCTGTAATGAAAAGGATATCAAGATTAGGTACATTACAGGAGTGTTAAAACATCCAAACATGCACACTTATCTTATTCTAGTAAGATTAGAGGACAGGTCTAATGTTGTGAAAAAATGATCAAGTCAGTTATTTTATTTATTTATCTTATGTACCACATTTAATTTAATAATTAATCTTAAATTACTAATAACTTTAAAGAAAGCAACAATTTACAATGTGGATAAGGTGACTACTTATCCAAAGTGTGTGGGTGTGTGTGTGTGTGGGTGTGTGAACAGCTTGTCTGCCCAAGGTTAAAACATTGGGACAGCAGTGAGAATGTTATGAGAAACAATTTGTTGCTTCGACTGAACTCGAAGAACTGAGATTAGAACATTTGAAATAAATCAAAACACTTGTACATTAATTAAATACATTTGACATTTAGCTTGAGCTGGTTCAATACTTTCTTTATGGTATTTAAATTGGGCTCAAGTAGAACCTTTACATGGATTTGGCTTGCAACACAAAGTGATACTGATCTCTGTCTGTTATGATTTGAAAGTCTCATGATTGAAAGTGTAGGGCTGTGAAGGAGAGGCCCTTGGAAAACAACCTCTACTTCTTTAAACTGTAATTACTTATTGTAAGAGATTGCAACATTATACTTTTTAAAGAATTGCTCAATTCATTTAACACATTTATTATGCACACTGTAATGAAAACGCAACAAATATTGATCCTGGCTTAACCAGCGACCTTTACTCTTTTGTTAATAAACTCGGTTTCAGAAAACTTGTCAGTAGTTTAACAACTATTAGAATTGTAGTAATGTCTATGGAGACCAATTGGTTGATACGAGAAATCATTTGAAGCAGTTTAATAAAGAATGTTAAACTATATTTAAAACTGTAATTAAACTTCAACTTATATTAATTATCTGAATCCAGTGGCCAGTTGGAACAGATAATCAACAAAGTTTCCATTTTGCAGCAACAGCGCAAAAGGTTTCAACAATAATTTGTATTATGTCTGAGTCAAGTTCTGTCTTATCAGCTTTGTTTCGGAATGTGTTCAAAACATTACGTTTTTTTCATTATTACCAAACAATACATATTTAAGAATAAATGAAACAATAATACAATATTGACCTAAAACAGCAGACAGATTTTGCAACCCTGACCTCCTCAGGCAGGTTTTTTTACGATCAGCAGTGATGCCTCTTAGGGTCTCAGGGTGCAGGACGGGGCATAGGGTTTATAAAAGGTCACAAACATATCTTAACATAACAGCAATACAATTTAGAATGTATTCTTAAAAGTAATATAATCTTATTTTCTTCTTACACCTACAGCGCACACCCTGAACAGTGTGCTCCTTGTTTACATTTCCTCGCACACTCAGATGCAGCGCACACCCTGAACAGTGTGCTTCTTGTTTACGTTTCTCTGCACACTCAGATGCAGCGCACACCCTGAACAGTGCTTCTTGTTTACGTTTCCTCTGCACACTCAGATGCAGCGCACACCCTGAACAGTGTGCTTCTTGTTTACGTTTCCTCTGCACACTCAGATGCAGCGCACACCCTGAACAGTGTGCTTCTTGTTTACGTTTCCTCTGCACACTCAGATGCAGGACATAAAAACACTCTTTTGCTATTTATTTTCATTTTGCAGCACATCCATACTACCAGAATTTTGCAAAACACTATATATTATTTATCTTTCTTCAGTCATTTACTTTTGGTGAGTTAACTAAAGCTTAGTTTATTTTACCCTGGCTATGGACTGATTCATTATTAGTTGTTACAAAACATGCACAAGACGGCGGTTAGACAAACAAAAATAGACCCCCGATACAAACAATCAGACAAACAAACATGATGAACTCATAATAAACACCAGCGTGACAGCAAAAGTTCATCCAGCTCAATTTAGTCCGATTAAAGAGGTTTCAGAGGGGGTAGGGACTATTATGATCTCTCCCAATGGGAATCCAGTGGGGTACCTTGACTCGTACCTCCACCCTTGTATACAAGTCCTTAGATCGGTGCCTGAAGACCGTCCAAGAGCAATAACTAGCTTATCCTCTTGCGACTCCACTATCCCTGCTCTAGTGGTGCTATGCCCCCCCCGATCGGGGCACATAGACTTTTTTCCTCTACCCTTTCTATCCGAAACCACACAGTTAACTGTAGTCCTACTCGACCAGCCTACACACCTCCCATCATGCTCATCCCAACGATGAAACACAGTTTTGCTCTACACTTGCATACCACGGCCCACCCATGATCAATTAGCCTATCATTTTATGTATGCACCCCGGACCGACATCAGCTCCTCAGCAATGTAGGGTGCCTGTCGCATCAGGTAATGCACGCACCTCGCACTTGCCAGCACATCGTAAATGGCCACAAGCCACGAGAGTGCTTTTAAACAGTCTCTTTTTTAATAGAGACGGCGGTGGTGTGAGTTAAAGCTATAGACAAAAGCTGTGATTTTCTCCCTCTGAGTTCACTTCACCAGCTCATGCAGATACGGGGAGGCATTTGACACACATTCCCCGGAGCTGCAGCAGCTGGAGCCGTGTGTTTTTTAGAGGCGCTGGGGGTAATATCTATGGCTGCTTTAGTTAACTGCTAGTGTTGGCCGCTGAAACCCCCGGAATCTCGGCGATTTGTTCATTACAAATCTCTATTTTGATTTCACACAGAAGTTCCACTTTACTGCTGCCCTCATTAAGGTTTTTTTTAAACATCTCCGCGTATGCCTGCACGGCACATACGTCCAAGCATCACACACAGAGGGAACCAGCCAGGACAGAGTCCCTGGATGATCCCCTGGGGTTACTAGCCCCAAATGTTCATTAACCAAAACGAAACGCAGCCGCTTAGCTTCACAGATAATTTTAGGATACCGTCAATCACAGATTCTGGTAAGGCAATGTCCAAATGTAGATTTGAAATCACACTTACCAGTCTCTGAAGATATGTTGGTATCCTGCCGACAACGCCAATTTGTGGAGGAAACTTCTGTGTAGTAATGCATGGAGTCACCGACTCAGGAAGGAGACACGGTGAGAGTTGGAGCTTTGATGTCAAACACTGATGGGTTTATTCAGAGTATTCGGCCGGAGGATTCACATCACAAGTCAAAGAGTCAGAGGTTCTGACCACACGGTAGAGTTGCCACGTCAATTCTGAAGAACCTCTCTCTATGCTAGACCTTTTAACAGGTTCACAGAGAATCAACATCTCTGAAGGAGTAGACTAAACACTGAATCATCTGCGTCCAACGCTCATGGCCTCAAGGATTTCACATCCGAGAGCCCACAAACACCGATAAAGAAATGCTTCAGTGTTCTCACAACAATTACCCTACGTGCCAGTCAAGTTGACCGGTCTCACACTGGGGACAACAACACATATGGCACCAAGGCCTTTCCTTAGAGGAGATAACATATGTCAGAGTAAAAGGTTAGATATCTAGAAGAATTATTCCTTAACAGTAGTAGTAGTAGTAGTAGTAGTAGTAGTAGTAGTAGTAGTAGTAGTAGTAGTAGTAGTAGTAGTAGTAGTTATGTAGTAGTAGTAGTTATAGTAGTAGTAGTAGTGGTAATAGTAGTGGCAGTATAGTAGTAGTAGTAGTGATAGTTACACTGTAGTCTCCTTTAATATGCACTGACAGTGGTTGTGATACCATGAGCTGCCACAGGATAGAGCTGATGTACAGCTAATGATTCACATCAGCTTCTCTCCCTTCCTGTTCTCTGTCGGGACTTCCGGTGTCAGAAGTTACTTTCCCTTTGTTCCCGTTGTGAAGCAGAAGTTTTCCTCCTCGCTAAACTGTTGGTAAGTGACCGTTTTCAGAGTGAAATGACTCTCAGCTGATCTCTGCTCTCACCTCAGACTCATCTCTCTAATGTGTTTATTGCTAACAGTTATATATATTATTGATAATAACAGCTGCAGCTGCTCTAACAGCATGCTAACAACATGCTAACAGTATAGATTGTTAATGAGGCAGTTAGCCACAAACAGCTGATCTAACAACATGAAGTCAAATCAAATGATCGTTTTAAACTGACATCAGTATTAGGGATGCAAGCACCAGAGACCCGAACCTGGTTCTGGACCGGAAGATGGTCCTGGACCTGGATCCAGCTGTGAGTCCATGGAAGAGTGACTGGTCTATGGATCCCCCTCTTACCTTTAAATCTGGCCTTCCTGCAGATGGAAGGTGAGGATGTAAAAGTGTGTAACGTGATAAGCTTTTTTCTAAAGAGTTCACCGTTTTTTTCTCCGGAACGCTGGGACCTTAGGCGCATTCACACCGCAGTACTTTCCCACAAAGGTTCATGAGAACTTAGTTCATGAGAACTCTTTAGTTCTCATGAACTTAGTACAGATCGCGTTCACACCGGAATAAGTTCCTAGGGGAGGATTAGGCAAATGAAGCCGCTGACGTCACTTCTTCTTCTTCTGCTTTGGGTTTTACTGGCAGGCCGCAAACAACTTCACGGCGTATACTGCCACCCCGAAGTCCCGGAGTTGGGGACTGGCTTCCGAGTAAATCGCCAGAACGCCGACACCTCCTCATTCTCACCGCTCCCATGTTTTTCTTTTGTGTTGCCATAGTTAGTCTCTCTGCGTTTTGTGCGCTGAGCTTAATGCTAATGCTAATAATGCTAATGTGAGGATAATAAAATGGCGGCTTCACAAAACTTTTTGGGAGTTTTTATGGGGCGTGGTTTGCAATCCGCCCAGCCAATCAGACATAGGAACCTTTTTCTCCCACGAAAGTCCCTGCTCTCTAGCAGGACGGAAAAGGGGGTAAAAAAGGGTTCTGATTAACTAATTTTTTGTTCCGGCTCTTTTTTGGTGTGAACGCGACATTTCGGAACTATATCGGAACTAAAGTGGGAAAGTACTGCGGTGTGAAACGCGGCTAATGTTCTGTTAGCTCTGTCTAGCTACTTTGATTCATGTGTTGCTGTTGTTGTTGTGTATTTTCTGTTGTTGTTTTGCTCAGCTAGAAGTCAGATGTCCTCTAGTGGGACTATTAAGAAGAACTGGACATCTGAAACTGATGTGAAGCTAAAGAAAGAGCAAACTGATCCATGAACTGGAACCAGAGAGAATCTGCTATAACTAACTTTGTTCGCTTTATCTTGGTTGTATCAGGAAGAGACCTGGACCTAAACGTAAATCTAGACCTAGACCAGAACCTGGACCTGGATCCAGCTGTGAGTCCATGAAGAGTGACTGGTCCATGGATCCCCCTCTTACCTTTAAATCTGGCCTTCCTGCAGATGGAAGGTAAGAATGTAAAAGTGTGTATTGATTGATTGATTGATTGAAAAGTGTATTAACAGCTTGTATATTGGGTACAGTACAGTACAGCTCAAAACATACAATTGTTAAGGGGATGCAGACCAGAGAAAGACTTTCGTCTTGTTTACATTCAGGGTCCCCCTTTTCCAATTCATCATATCATTTAAGACATATAAGACATATTTGACATACAGATGGCTTATTTTCAATTACATACAGGTGGTTTTTTACATACAGATGGCTTATTTACAAATTCATTTTAGATTTCGTTCTAATACATCCTAACCGGACATTTAAGACATACCCAAGTCTACAGATATACAGTTAGTAACAGAGTCTAAAATGCGAGTATATACCATAGATGGGGGGGGGAAGATGTCCATTGTACGACAGGTTGAGATTGTACATTACCGGGGCCAGTTTTGCAATTGCTCTCCCCCGAAGGTGCTCTTTAAGAGAGGTTTGAAGGTAAGTATAGTTTTACTTTCCTTTACAGTTTGGTGGGCAGAGCGTTCCACCTTGATGTGGCATAATTGCGAAACGTGTTATTCCCCCTTTTTTTGTGCCAAATTCTGGGTTTTACATGATTTTGTGGAGCTCCCTCTTGTGTTATGTATCATGGTATTTCCTGACCTTTGGGAAGAATTGTTTGACATGTACATGGGTACCATAGAGGTGTAGTGGATCTTGTAGACCAGGCCCATTGCCAAGTAGCTGTACTCTGTCGTCTACTCTAAGCCATCCTAGGTTGTCAAGTGGGCCGAGGTGAGGTGGGTTCTAGATGAAAGGTCAAGCAGTAGTGCTGTAATGTGATAAGCTTTTTTCTAAAGAGTTCACAGTTTCTTCTCCCGGACGCTGTGGGCCATTGTTCTGTTAGCTCTTTGGTTCTTCTAAACTTACTCCATCTTTTTAGAGATGTTACTTTGATTCCTGTGTTGTTGTTGTTCTGTTGTTGTGTATTCTGTTACAAAGTGAGGTGCAGGTTGAAAGAACGATACGTGGAGGAGAGGGTTTTCTTGCAAAAATAGACAGGCGTTTTATTCTTAGCCTTTCCACATTATTCCACAGAAACAAAAAACTGCATGCCTGGTGCTGCGTTCACCAGCAAGGAACAAACACCAAATGCCCCTCCCCTCTCTTCCCCAACCACATTTATAGGAGACTGCCCGCCTTCCCAATCCAACCTGGCCATCAGGTCATGGTTCTGAAAGCGGACTGAAGGGTTAAATACAAAATTAACACTGTGGTCTACATTTAATTCAATCCTAAAGGCTTAAGTAAATTCATAATTGCATCAACATAAACATTGTACCTTAAAAACAACAAGTTCTGCTTAAAACGGATAGTTTTTAACCTAATTGACACTCATATAAAATCACAACATTTCCTGACCAATCACGTCCAAGACTCCGCCTACTCATACGGCACACATAAGGAGTACTTTGGAGGCGTGCTACCCCTTTGAACAGTGACACAAAATGGCTTCCAGGTCTGAACAAAGGAAATGGTGATTACTTTTGTGATTGTGTTTTTACAGACTGACAAATTAATTTAGATGCACTTTACTAGTTTTTTCTATGTAAACTGTTTTTGTAACTTTAACTGAAATAAAGACAACTCTGAAGAAACATATACTACCTTTCTTACCTGGACCTGGATCTGGACCCAGCCGTAATAAAGCAGAGGTTTGTGACTCGGCTGACCTGATGAAAAGAGTCGAGCAGAGCTCGGCCCCCTGGCTGTGAAACATCACTATTTAGATCTAAACAGTGAAATATGATTCCTGAAACGTTTGAGACAAAAATAGGAAATGCAGTAAAAATAATCCTATTTTTAGAACCAATAAATAATTCAACATCAATTAAATGTTTTTTTCAAATATTATTAATTAATTAAATAATTAATAATCTTTGAGAGGATATCAAGTTATTCCCTAATGAAAGGGTCGAAGTGAAGTCACAAGTCATGTGACATGAGTCCCAGAACTCTTCTTAGTATTTATATGTTGATATAATACTGAACAGATCAAACTGAGCAGTGACATTTCTGTTGAGGATTGAGGACCCAGAGCCATAAACCACCAGGAACAAGGACTCCTTTATCTGTCCGGGCTGGTGTTCAGTTATTCTTAAAGATGATTTTCGTATTATTGGGGAAAATCAAATGAAAAACAGCATCTGAACACTTAATCCTGGTGGGGGTGTTTGGAGAGGAGGAAGTCCTCTACCCGGCCTGAGAGGAACCTCACCAAGCAGACTTCCTCTCTGCTCGGCTCCTCTTGTGGACAGGAGGCTCAGACACTAATGGCGCATTTCCACTACACGGCCTCGCTCGGTATGGCTAGGCCTCGTTAGGACTGGCTCACTTTATGGCGCATTTCTATTACAGTTTAGGAACTGGAGTAGTATCTATAGTAACGCAGTGTAGGCAGAGCCGTGACGTGATCTTCAATGAGAACCCCAGAAAAACAACACAGCCGTTAGCTGTTAGCACTCAGAGCTCTCAGCTCCTCATATATGTTCAGAAACTAGACAAAAGTTAAACAAGTACAAACCACAGACTGCCTGTGTCATGGTGAATACAGTCGCTGGTTTATTTATGTCTGTAGGCCGTTGTTGTGAGTGTGGACGGTCGGAGCATATACTGCGTTAGCTTAGCCAATCTCCATTTAGAAAACACGCATGTTAAAAGGTGTTTCGCCTGCCGTCTGTCTGCAGACTTGACAAAGCATTAATTCATGATTTTTACTAACCGGTATCAGTATGTTGTTACTTCGGCATCATTTTGAAACGTGTATTACAATTAAATCACGGTCAAATATGTTCATCTTGTTGTAGTTGTAGCCCCCTTGCCAGCGATGCTCTCTCTAGTTTAGCAAACTCAGCCCTGTTTGTTGGCCCCGATAGAACCACGATTTTGTCGGGCCAGAAAAGAGGTGAAAAGTACCCCCCGGGCCGGAAATAGGCATAGTGGAAACGCAACCAAAAACGTGCCCAGCTCGACACGGCACGCTTAAACCGCGCTCCGCACCATGGTGGAAATGCGCCCTAACAGTTTTAACTAGTGAGAATCTGTCCTAATCTGTTCTTTATACGCTTTAAACTGCTGACTATTAGTCTGTGTTTATTTTTATCAGGATCCAGCAGCAGAGTCCTGAACCCAGCTGTGTGTCCATGAAGAGTGACTTTTCTATGGAGTCTCCTATGAACTTTAAAGCTGGACAAAGTGCTGATGAAAGGTAAGAATTTAAAACTGTTTTGTTCTGATGCTCTTTGGAGAAGATACCACAAGTTGGTTCAAATCAGGCTCCGGATGATAATGGTATTTCTGTTCCTAGCACCATCAGCTGCTGTGAGGCTTCTGATGGTCGGACGCTTTCAGGCCTCAGTAATTTTGGTGCTTTTATACCCCCCCCCCTCCAGCTGCTGAGCTACAGTTACCCTGTTATTCTGTCTTCATCTCAGAACTCTTTAGTAAGCTGAGTGCAGGTTAGACTCTTTAAATGTTCTTGATGTTTTCTCCACAGAGTTCAGCAGGAGTTCTCAGAGGTTCCCAGTGATCAGTCTGCCCCGAAGCATCACACTGACCAGGACTCCATATTTATGGTGTGTACAAACATACATTTACTATGAACTACAGATGAACTACCATTCAGGTCCTAACAGTGTCCATGCTGCTCTGTTTAGACCAGCAGGCCTTCAGACGGACAGATGAATCACATGTTGTCTTCTTTAAATTAACTGTTGTTGCGTCAGCGGACCTGTATTCATCTCTAACTATTAATCAGACCTACTGATTGACCTATCAGAAGCTATTGAGTCTGTGCAAGTTTACCGCCAGGCAGGGATCCACCTGGATCGGCAAGGTCTTACCTCTACTAACTCCTGTAGAACCAGGTTCAATGAACTTCTGTTATAACCTGTTAACCCCGGCAGCCCCCGCCCGCGGGGCCTACGGGCTTTTTTTTCACGAAACTGTGTCTCAGGGCTTCTTAACATTCAACAACCTATTAATGTGTCATACCCACTTTCACGGGAAGAAACTCAGCTAACTGACGATATGAACAATTTTTAGCTAAACGAAACACAAGGGTAAAAGCAAGCCTCTGAATTAGCCCTGAGCGAAAAAATGCTAAGGCACTTAGCACAGAACTCACGTTATAAATACTTTATTACTTATCGGATCTGCACAAACAAGATATCAGCTAGCAAGCTGAGATTCCACAGAGTCTAGATATTCTAGTTTTTCTGATCAAAAGTTGTGTTCAATGGCATTAAAACGATAAAAACACTGCTGAAGGTTAATCCAATGTGTCTGTGTCACTTTGAAATTATTACTGATAATCCATCGTCATATTTATGGCCAAAACTGAGTTTTCTTATAGCTGCTATGATAGCTACTAGAGTGTATGACAGCTTCCGGTTTTGGGCATTCTGGCTATGCATCACTCATTCACCAATGGGTAATGTTTAGATGGATTTTAGGAACTTCCCCTCGATTCTATTGGTTCTAACGGTTAAAAAGAGGTGTCAATCATCAAAATTGACCGATGGGGGCCAGAGATATGGAAAATGCACCCAAATGATGTTCTTTTTCTTTTATAAATCTCTCTAAAAAGGTCAAAGGTCACTTGTTTTGCATCAATCGTGATACAGGGTACTTATTATATGTTATAGTTTGGATTCCTAAAGCTTTTAGTCTACCTTACCATCATCCAAGGGTGGTTTTCACTATAAGTAATGTTTTTATTTTTGGACTGACACTATAATTTAAAATGTTTTACTATGTTCAATCTGAATTTACTTTTAAAATTAAAAAGATCTATATTGATTCGGACTTTTCTACATTCAACTCACAGGTTTATCCTTGCTTTGAGAAAAAAGATGATTAATTTACTTCTTTTAGAAGGGAAGTTATGGTAATTTGTTCTGGGAATGTCATTTTCGAGCCTGAGACCTGAAAAACAGGCTCAGTGCTTAACAGGTTAAGGCAGACAAATGACTAAATCTGTTTAAGAGATCCCAGAGTATTCGAGAATCTGCTTTGAGGTGTGGCCCTGCCTAAGTGTGAGTATGTACCTTAAAGCAGGAGAGGACGGCAAAGAGTTGCTTAAACGTTTTCCAAATCCAAATGGGTGGGATGATTTTATTGAAAGAAATGGTCCACACTTTTACTGGGTTCTTACCTTCTCTTGTTACATTGGGACAGTTATTTCCCTCCGGAGTAATCTTCTACATTACATGTCACTTGTTAGACCCTTTTATCCAAAGCGACTTGATCTCGATCCAGAGGTTTTAGCCAAATATAGACCTATTTCTAATTTTCCGTTCCTCTCAAAAATTCTTGAGAAAGCAGTCGCAAAAAAGTTGTGTGATTACTTAAAAAACAATGATTTATTTGAAGATTTTCAGTCTGGCTTTAGAACACATCATAGCACAGAAACAGCTCTGGTTAAAGTCACAAATGACCTTCTAATAGCCTCAGACAAAGGACTTGTCTCTATTCTTGTTTTGCTCGATCTCAGTGCTGCATTTGATACTATCGACCATGACATCCTATTGCAAAAACTAGAGCACTTATGGCGCGTTTCCACTACAGCGCGGAGCACGGTTTAAGAGGGCTGTGACGTCAGCGGCCCGTTTTTGGTTGCGTTTCCACTTGGCCTAGTACCGGCCGGCGGGTCCTAATTCACAGTTTTTCTGGCCTCATAAAATCGTGGGTCTAGGGCCAGAGACAACCGGGCTGAGTGTGTGACGTCAACACTCTCGGCTGCTGATTGGTCGGAGAGAATCGTCACACTCGGCGCGCGACATAATCCCTAGCGTCGCATATCTATATAGCGAAGCTTGCAGCATTTTTGTTAACAGAGGAGCTACAACAATGGCAAAGAAAAGCACGCCATGGTCGGTCCATTATATTGCAGATGATAAGGTCCAGCGGGAGCTCGACGGGACAACTCGCAATATCAAAGTCTTTCAGGAGGTCTCTACACAGACACTGAACTCTGCAACGGTAAGTTTTTGCTAACGCTCTGTTATTTGCTTGAAAGCTTTGTGTCCCTATCTGTTCTAAAGCTCACTTCTAACAAATAAGTCTATTTTATCCTTACATTTATGTTCGACAACCCATGCTTTTATGGAGCCCCGAAGGCTAGCTAGCTAGCTAGCTAGCTAAGGCAGATAGCATTAGCTAGAGCTATTGTTTGCTAACACCATATGTGCCATTGTTTACGTTCAGTTTGTCTTTTCTATAGTTGTTGTTGCTATTTATAGTGTTGTGCTGCAGTAGTTTGTGGAATTTACAAGTCATGTTTCTGTTCTAGATGATTACATTGGGACTAGCGAGGGGGAACAGTTCCGAACAACGTCCTCTGCATCGACATCAACAGCACAAACTCCAGCTCGACCACAGACACCAACACGAGCACAGACACCAACGCCGAGTGCCAGCTCGACACCGCTGCGTGTGGTTCTAGGTAAGAAATAGGCTGGAATTGTGACTTTTAAATAAAAACTTTAGACCATCCATCGTCAGTAAGTAAAATAAGCTGTACCACTGTGTGGGAATGCTCTGTTACAAGTAAAGTAACTAGCTAGTAAGCAGCTAGTATCTAGGGCCAGAACTTTCTTTAATTCATCCTTACTGTTGTTCTGTTTATACATTTTATTCTTATATCCTTTTGTGACCTGTACTTGTCCTGTGTTTTTTCATTCTTATTGCTAATTATTATTGATATAATTATCTTGTCACCCAGGCAAGAGGAACCGAGGAGGAGAGGATCTGGCCCTGCAGAAGGAAGACCGGGCCCTTGGTGGAGGCGAGGCTGTTGGAAGCAGCCTCGCCTCCACCAAGGGCCCGGTCAAGCAGCCTTGAGAAGGGAGGAGATCGCTCACGCAGAGACCTTTTAATTTATCCTTCCTGCGCACTCTTGGCCAGGTGCTAGGGGGAACGGGCAGCCGACGTGCCCCGTCTCCTCCGCCTCTGTGATCGAACAAATAACCTCTGGCTGAGATTATATTGTTTATTTACATTTGTACTTGTTTATTTTTTATCTTTAAAATGTTTATTTTTTATCTTTAAAATGTTTATTTTTACAATTAATGCCATGTCTTTTTATGCTGCTGCGCTGCAACCAACATTTCTTCTTTTTTTATTTGTAAGTTACAATGCCATGCCTTTTTTATGCTGCTGCAAGAAAACACTTCCCAAATTGTGTTAAATAAAGTACTTCTTTGACTTATCTTATTGCTTGTTGATAAATAATTGCACCCAACAGCGATCACACAGAAAGATAGCATCATCTAGGCGTCCCTCTGCAGTCAGAAATATCATAAACACCATCATCGTCCACAAAGCACTGTACAGGGGTTTATGGATTTAAGAGAATACTTATCACAGTGAAACCTTTATCATCTGTTGCAATTAAAGCAAATAAGAGAATAAATACTTGGTTAAATAATACATTTTAACTCTTTAGCAGGACAACTCTGCATACTGTTTGAAATTGAGTTTGCTAGCTTGAGGTCCTCTAAAACATAACATTACATATTTTTTAATGGTATTAAGAATACATGATAAATAAATACATGTAGTAAAAATTACTCAATTGTAATACCCTCGTTGTGCTAGACTCAAACACATTGCGTATATATTTCAAAAGAAAACACCTATACAAAGAGAGCGGTGCACAGCGCTTAATATTTACTTGCACTATATTTCTGTTTATCTGGGTTATTGTGTTGCACTGTTGGAGGAGCCTGTGACCTAAGATGTTCATTGTCATAACTACACTGTAGCTATGTTCGTATGACAAAATAAAAAACCTTGAACCTTGAGGCTGTGTCTTTCAGACAAACCATCATAATCATATTATTTTATGCTGTGGATACTTTAGCCTCCATCCATGTTAACAATTTTTTACACTTGCATTTATGAATATAGTTTTGCTGTGTTTTTACACTTTTGTATTTATGTTTATAGTTTGCTTTGATATTTGCTTAATTTATTAGATTATTATTATTATGGGGCAGTAAGTACTGGTGCTTGAAATTCAAATATTTACTAAATAGTCAATTCTGATAAAAAAAAATTGGTTTAAATAATTTGACAAACACATGTATGTGAAAAAAAAAAGATGTATTTATGTTCAATACAATACAATGAATATTTAGGTATTACATTATACATTCTAGGTATTCAGGTAGCGCATCAGACCCTCTCGTATGTCCCTGCCCTCCTCTGCACCTTGTGCCACTGCTACCCCTGGTAGACGTAGGTTTCCTCAGGCATCCTGAAGCTCTCCACTGAGTGTGTGTGAAAGATGGAACAATCACATTCCACCACTCGGTAGCTCGGTCGAGCATCCAAACACATGGTCTAAGGCGGCGACGTAACTTCTGAAATACACGCAACTTCTGAAATACACAAACAAAAGCATACATATTTTAATACGTAAAAGTGGTAGCTGCAATTAATTAAATACTTGAAATACTTTGGTCGTATAGGGAGCGTGAGCCTAAACACATTGCTAGTTAGCGAACGTTAGCTTACCAAGTAGCATTGTAGTTAGTAGTAGTGATTCGAGTTGTCCTGTAGTCTCTGCGGCGTAGGACTGCCCGAACTCTCGCGTCAGCTTCTTCTATACCTCGTCTTGCTATAAGTCGCCTCTTTCGAAACAACTCTTGCCTATTTCTTGTGATAATAAACCACACAGCAAGAAACAAGCAAACGATCGCTTCCACATCTCCACATCCTCCATTGTTGTGTGTTGTGTCGCATTGAAGATGACGTCACGGCAGTTTTAAGCAGCGTCGCTCCGCCTACACTGCATTACTATAGATACTACCCCAGTTCCTAAACTGTAATGGAAACGCGCCATAAAGTGAGCTGGTCCTAACGAGGCCAATCGCGGCCGAGCGAGGCCGAGCAAGGCCGTGTAGTGGAAACGCGCCATTAGTTGGCATAAAGGGAACTGCTTTAGGCTGGTTTAGGTCCTATCTATCTGAACGCTCTCAGTTTGTATGTGTCAACGATGAATCTTCCATGCAAACCAAAGTGAGCCATGGAGTGCCACAGGGCTCAGTGCTTGGACCTATTTTGTTCACACTATATATGCTTCCGTTAGGCAATATTATAAGGAATCATTCTGTCAATTTCCATTGTTATGTGGATGATACTCAACTATGTTTATCCATCAAGCCTGATGAATCCAATCACCTAAATAAAATTCAAGACTGCCTCAAGGACTTAAAAACGTGGATGACCTTACATTTAAACACGGCCAAAACTGAAGTTATTTTACTCGGCCCAAAGAATCTACGAAACAAACTATCTAAAGATATACTAACTATGGATGGCATTAATTTGGCCTCTAGTGAGACTGTAAGGAATCTTGGTTCCCTATAGAACACAGGATATCATTTAAAATTCTTCTTCTCGCCTACAAAGCCCTTAATGGGTAGGCGACATCTTACCTTAAAGAACTCATTATACCCTACTGTCCTACTAGGGCATTGTGTTCCAAGAATGCAGGGTTGTTGGTTGTTCCTAGAGTCTCTAAAAGTACAATGGGAGCCAGAACCTTTTCTTATCAAGCTCCACTTTTGTGGAATCAGCTTCCAGTTTGTGTTCGGGCGGCAGACACCCTATCCGTTTTTAAGAGTGCGCTTAAGACCTTCCTTTTTGATAAAGCTTATAGTTGATAAAATAATCTAATAAGAGTGCATTGACGTAGACAAGGTGTGCCTCTTCACCTATACATTTTAGTTCTTACTCTTTTTTCCTTACTGATGGTATGTAATTTGGTTGTGTGTGTAGACGGTGGAAGCAGGGAGAGGCATAGACTTGCCTTGATCCCTGCCGAGTCGACGCACAACTGTTGATTGGTGTCAGTACCAAAAACGTTTAAGGAGCAATGCGCTCATGGTATAGATGTGGCGCATACATCTTAATTCCTACTCTTTTCCCTCACCCTATCCTAAGGGAGTGCATGTACGTAGACACGTTGTGCCTCTCCACCTCCGTTCTTTACTTCTTACTTGCTACCCTTTTCCCTCAACCCATCCTAAGGGAGTGCATGTACATAGACACGTTAGTTTAGCTGCTATAGGCTTAAGGCCGCTACACACCCACCTGAGACCAAAGAACGCGTACCGAAGGCGTCCCGACTTTTACGTCAGCTACGTCGCCTGCGTCGGCTATGCCGCCCGCTACGCCGCCCACCTACGAACACACCGCAAATACTTCAGTCGACGAGTGGCAATAACTGTCCTTGCCAGCAGGCAGCGGTAGTGTGAACAGCCAATCAGAGTGATTGGTTGGGCCGACTTTCTCTGACCTCCCGCGATGTTGAATCGGCCGCGGGAGGTGTGAAAAGGTGCCGTAAAGAGACGACGGTGCGGGACACGCCAACCTGAGTAGGGCGCCGCGAATGCCCGACTGCCTCTGACGGCCTCTGACTCCCAAAATCGGGTTGGTGTGTAGCCAGCTTTAGACTGTCGGGGGACGCCTTGCTTCTTCCTTCTCTCTGTCTGTACCTGTGTAGTCTCATGTTACGAATAACCCAGCTTCCCCCAAATTTATTTTTGGTGTCTATCTACGCCGGGATCCTGAGTCGTGGCTGAACCTGTCTCTGTGGTCCTGCCTGACTCTCATCATACTACTTCCCTGATGGCTCCCACAGGATTGTTGACATCCTCGTGGATTCATCTTCTTATTATAGACACATGCATTTCCAAACATTTGGTCTACCTATGCTGTAAAATGTATTATCTCTTCAATTTACACACGGCATCTATTGCACGTCTGTCCGTCCTGGGAGAGGGATCCCTCCTCTGTTGCTCTCCCTGAGGTTTCTCCCATGTTCCCCTTTAAACTGTGGGTTTTCTCTGGAAGTTTTTCCTTGTACGATGTGAGGGTCTAAGGACAGAGGGTGTCGTATTGTCATACTGATATTCTGTACAAACTGTGAAGTCCACTGTGACAAATGTAACATTTGTGATATTGGGCTATATAAATAAACATAGATTAATTGATTGACTTGCATACATTCAGTACTGTGAGCAGTCCCCACAGTAGCAATTTGGGGTGAAGTGTCTTCAGGGACACAACGACATGCTGACTGCAGTGGGACTCAAATTTGCTCTCCCCTGATCTGAACATCCTCCTTCTAAGATATAATCAATAATTCACCGGTTTACATTTATTTTATTTTAAACATCCGACCAATCTTCAAAGGTATAATCTTTAGGTCGGCGGGTTAAATTGGGACCTTTCAGAGCTTATTAATACTCAATAACATCACCGCTACTAAGCAGGATCATTGGAGGGATGGAAAGAGATTAACAGAGGGGGTTGTGGACTAAAGTTAAATCAACAGAAGCAGACAGAAGGAACGGAACTAAAGCAAAAATCTTATCAGTGTTCATCAATCTGTTCCAGCTGCTGGAGGAGAACATCGTCACTTTTGCGAAGAACGAGCTGAAGAAGATCCAGAAGGCTCTGAGTTCAGATTACCCAGAATACTTAGAGAGTCAGAGGGAGAATGAGGAAGTGTTGGACGGTGAGGATGAAGAGCAGAGGAGGAGCAGCAGAGAGGCATTTCTGAACATCACACTGCACTTCCTGAGGAGCATGAAGCAGGAGGAGCTGGCTGACCGTCTGCAGAGCAGTAAGAGGGTTTAACACATTTAACATGATGGAGAGGAGATGGAGGAACATGGAGAAGTTTACATTTACAAACTCTGCTGTTAATATGCTGCACACATCTGCATCAGTGTGTCCTCTGAGGAGCTGATTCAAACTATACAGCCTCACTTCAATGTTCAGATTCTCAGTGTTTTTGCAGCATCCACTCACTGATTTAACTTGTTTGTTCACTCAGAAAATCCTGTTGCAGAGTGCCAGCGTGAACTTAAATCCATCCTGAAGGAGAGGTTCCAGTGTGTGTTTGAGGGCATTGCTAAAGCAGGAAACCAAACCCTTCTGAACCAGATCTACACAGAGCTCTTCATCACAGAGGGGGGGTCTGCAGGGGTCAATGATGAACATGAGGTCGGACAGATTGAAACAGCATCCAGGAAACCAGACAGACCAGAAACAACCATCAGACGAGAAGACCTCTTTAAAGCCTCACCTGGAAGAGATGCACCAATCAGAGCAGTGATGACAAAGGGCGTGGCTGGCATTGGGAAAACAGTCTTAACACAGAAGTTCACTCTGGACTGGGCTGAAGGCAAAGCCAACCAGGACTTCCAGTTCATATTTCCATTACCTTTCAGAGAGTTGAATGTGATGAAAGAGAACAAGTACAGCTTGGTGGAACTTGTTCATCACTTCTTCTCTGAAACCAGAGACGCAGGAATCTGCAGGTTTGATCAGTTCCCGGTTGTGTTCATCTTTGACGGTCTGGATGAGTGTCGACTTCCTCAACAATGAGATCCTGACTGATGTCAGAAAGTCCACCTCAGTGGATGTGCTGCTGACAAACCTCATCAGGGGGAAGCTGCTTCCCTCTGCTCGCCTCTGGATAACCACACGACCTGCAGCAGCCAATCAGATCCCTCCTGAGTGTGTGGACATGGTGACAGAGATCAGAGGGTTCACTGACCCACAGAAGGAGGAGTACTTCAGGAAGAGATTTAGAAAGAAGGAGCAGGCCCGCACCATCATCTCCCACATCAAGACCTCCCGAAGCCTCCACATCATGTGCCACATCCCACTCTTCTGCTGGATCTCTGCTACAGTTCTGGAGGACATGTTGAAAACCAGAGAGGGAGGATATCTGCCCAATACCCTGACTGAGATGTACATCCACTTCCTGGTGGTTCAGTCCAAAGTGAAGAACATCAAGTATGATGGAGGAGCTGAGACAGATCAACACTGGAGTCCAGAGAGCAGGAAGATGATGGAGTCTCTGGGGAAACTGGCTTTTGAGCAGCTGCAGAAAGGCAACCTGATCTTCTATGAGTCCGACCTGACAGAGTGTGGCATCGATATCAGAGCAGCCTCAGTGTACTCAGGAGTGTTCACACAGGTCTTTAGAGAGGAGAGAGGACTGTACCAGAAGGACAAGGTGTTCTGCTTCGTCCATCTGAGCATTCAGGAGTTTCTGGCTGCTCTTCATGTCCATCTGACCTTCATCAACTCTGGAGTCAACCTGCTGTCAGAAGAACCAACAACCTCCCAGGAGTCTGAAGTCAAACCTGAACTAACACATCTCTACCAGAGTGCTGTGGACCAGGCCTTACAGAGTCCAAACGGACACCTGGACCTGTTCCTCCGCTTCCTCCTGGGTCTTTCACTGCAGACCAATCAGCATATCCTACAAGGCCTGCTGACAGAGACAGGAAGTAGCTATCAGACTTATAATGAAACAGGCTGGTACATCCAGAAGAAGATGGATAAGGATCTGTCTGCAGAGAGATGCATCAACCTGTTCCACTGTCTGAATGAACTGAAAGATCGTTCTCTAGTGCATCAGATCCAAGAGCACCTGAGTTCAGGACGTCTCTCTGAAGAGAATCTCTCTCCTGCTGAGTGGTCAGCTCTGGCCTTCATCTTACTGTCATCAGGAGAAGATCTGGACGTGTTTGACCTGAAGAAATACTCTGATTCCGAAGAGGCTCTTCTGAGGCTGCTGCCAGTGGTCAAAGCCTCCAACAAAGCTCTGTAGGTGAACACACAACTATCCATATTAAATGTTTTTCTTATTAACTCAGCAACAAAAAACTGTTTGTAATACGTTTCTGATTCCTCCTCAGACTGAGTGGCTGTAACCTGTCAGAGAGAAGCTGTGAAGCTCTGTCCTCAGTCCTCAGCTCCCAGTCCTCTAGTCTGAGAGAGCTGGACCTGAGTAACAACAACCTGCAGGATTCAGGAGTGAAGCTGCTCTCTTCTGGACTGCAGAGTCCACACTGTGCACTGGAGACTCTCAGGTTAGTGTAGAGCTGTTCAGATTTTTGTCTGAGAGAGCTGAGTTACAATGCAAGTTATATATTGAAACTTTTTAGTTTTTAATTTGTGTGTGTGTGTGTGTGTGTGTGTGTGTGTGTGTGTGTTGTGTGGTGTGTGTGTGTGTGTGTGTGTGTGTGTGGTGTGTGTGTGTGTGTGTGTGTGTGTGTGTGTGTGTGTGTGTGTGTGTGTGTGTGTGTGTGTGTGTGTGTGTGTGTGTGTGTGTGTGTGTGTGTGTGGTGTGTGTGTGTGTGTGTGTGTGTGTGTGTGTGTGTGTGTGTGTGTGTGTGTGTGTGTGTGTGTGTGTGTGTGTGTGTGTGTGTGTGTGTGTGTGTGTGTGTGTGTGTGTGTGTGTGTGTGTGTGTGTGTGTGTGTGTGTGTGTGTGTGTGTGTGTGTGTAGTCTGTCAGGCTGTATGGTCACAGAGGAAGGCTGTGTTTCTCTGGCTTCAGCTCTCAGCTCCAACCCCTCCCATCTGAGAGAGCTGGACCTGAGTAACAACGACCTGCAGGATTCAGGAGTGAAGCTGCTCTCTTCTGGACTGCAGAGTCCACACTGTGAACTGGAAAGTCTCAGGTTAGTGTAGAGCTGTTCAGATTTTTGTCTGAGAGAGCTGAGTTACAATGCAAGTTATATATTGAAACTTTTTTGTTTTTAATCTGTGTGTGTGTGTGTCCGTGTCCAGTCTCTCAGGCTGTATGGTCACAGAGAAAGGCTGTGTTTCTCTGGCTTCAGCTCTGAGATCCAACCCCTCCCATCTGAGAGAGCTGGACCTGAGCTACAATCATCCAGGAGACTCAGGAGAGAAGCTGCTTTCTGCTGGACTGGAGGATCCACTCTGGAGACTGGAGACACTCAGGTATGGACAGACGGACGGACAGACAGACAGACAGACAGACAGACAGACAGACTGTGTCTCCGTCACTAACTGAGGGACTCTGCTTCCTGTGTAATGGTGGATATGAGTGAAGGTGTATGAAGTTGATTCTGTGTTTCTTCCTGCAGGATGGACCATGGTGGACCTCAGTGGTTGAAACCTGGTCTGAGGAAGTGTGAGTGTGTTTTCAGTTTGATTCATGAGAGATGTTAGACTGCACATGAGATCCACAAACACAACAAAGTGAACACAGTGATCCAACAGAACCAATACAAATACATGTCTTAACAGAAAGCTCACTTCTTCTCCCTGTCGTTAAAGAAAGAAATAAAACCTGCTCCTTTCACAAGAAACCCAGAAGGCTTCTAATTTCTCTAATTCCCCTCCTCGACTCCTATCCGAGTGGAGGAGCCGAGGAGGGGAACCAAGGAGAGAGGAGCGGAAGCAGCAGGCGGTTAGAGAAATTAGAAATCTGAGCAGTCATTTTAAAGAGACGTCCATTAATGATGACAGGAGGCACAGCCCTCTGTCTGATGGACAGATGTGTTCATGATGACTTATATATTTACTTTTAATTCATTCACAGTGCGGTATAATGAGACAATAACAGGCTACAGATGCGGACACACACATATATATTTATATATATATTTATATAAATATACACAATTTCAGATTCAAACAAGTATGAGAGCACTCTCATAATAACGTAACACAATCAGAGATTGGATATATCCCCCCCCCCCTCTCCCCTCTCTGGTCGCTACAATGAGGAAAATGACATTACTGGACAAAAGTTTTATTTACAAGTATTAAAAGTTAGCATTGGACACCAAACCAACTGAGACCTGTCTGTCCGCCGCATCTACGCACACACACGCACCTACACACTGTACAACACACATCTACAGCATATAATATATATCAGGCTACAGCCGTTGTGTATTTTATTATGTGAAGCACTAAAAAATATTGACTCTTTGTTTGTAGATATCTACTAAAGCATACAAATAAAGAGAGTAACGTAGGCCTGTTATACTGAGTGATATATATTATACACACTGCTCTGCTTTCTGCACGGAAACATGTGAGAACAGCGATGAAAGCAGTTAATAAAATAATATCCTGGGGCCTCATTTATAAAGGTGCGTACACTCAAAAGATGGCGTACGCCAGTTTCTACGCACTGTTTGCGATTTATAAAAAACAAACTTGACGGGAAAATGTGCGGTCCTCCACGCAAACTCTAACCCATGCGTAGGCACTAAGCACACAAACGGGAGGGACGAGAAACTGCGACAGCGTTGGCAGAAGGAAGAATGGAGAGAAATATGTGGATAGGTTGTAGATACGAGCATGGTTTTATATACTATCACGTTTAATCGTGTTTTATGCCGTTTGCCAAGACTTGATAAGTCGCTCGTAAAACACAGGAGGTATGGAAACTAAGAACACCATATGTGGTAAATTGTACAGCTAATATAACACAACACATTAGTTGTATTTCCTTTAACTGGTGGATTATGGATATATAGTTGCTGATCGACAGCTGGAACACAAACCACCAAATACAACAAAATAATTCAGATCCAGTCGTCATGACTACACTCCGGAGGGATTCCCCCATAATTTCTTACAGTTTCTCATCAAGGGGGGGGTCTCCTGTCCCCGGTACAAACACACTGCCTGAGGAAGGTTATGTGTATTGTTTTTGTCATTAACTTTTTTCGGACCACTTATTTATTTATTTTGGTGACGATCCGACCTCCATGCTGCTCCTCTGGTTCAAACTGCATCCACCAAACAATATGATTTATCTCCACCTCCCCACAATAACCTAAATCTGACACGGTGTGAGATGTCTTTTTTAGCTGTTCGGTCCTCATTTCCTGTCAGTGATTGTCAGTAAAGTAGTTAATAAATGAACAGATGATAACCTGCAGCTGTGTTCTCTCCATCAGATGCCTGTGAACTGGAGCTGGACACAGACACAGCACACGTGAAACTCAAACTGTCTGAAGACAACAGGACGGTGACAGCTGTGGAGGAGAAGCAGCCATATCCTCGTCATCCAGGGAGGTTTGATCAGAATCTTCAGCTGATGTGTAGAGAAGCTCTGACTGGTCGCTGTTACTGGGAGGTCGAGTGGACAGGAAACGTTTATACATCAGTGACTTACGGAGGAAACAACAGTGGTGAATACGAAGATAACTATAGGTTTGGAGAGAATGATTGGTCCTGGAGTGTGAACTGCTATGGTGATAAAGACAGAAGACCCCCCTCTGGTAGAGTAGCAGTGTATCTGGATCATCCTGCTGGCTCTCTCTCCTTCTACAGAGTCTCCTCTGACACACTGATCCTCCTCCACACCGTCAGAACCACATTCCATGAACCTGTCTATGCTGGGTTTGGGTTTGGGTTTAAGTCGTGGTTTGATCAGTATCCGTTCAAGTCTGATGGTTCTTCTTCACTGTCTCTGTGTCCTCTGAAGGGCTGAGAGTCTCTCCTGTGGACAGAAACTGACTGCAGATCAGCTGCTGAAGTCAGTTCAGTGTGTTCACCATCGCACACACACACACACACACACACACACACACACACACACACACACACACACACACACACACACACACACGTCTCTCACAACGTCTAATAATATGAAACACAATTGTTGGTAATTTCTTCAATGTTTGGATTATACTGCAATGTAATGAGACTGTCCCATATCTTCTTACGTTTCTAAATACTTTCAATAAAATATTTTCTTTTCATTCAGGCACTTTGTCTTTCCTATGTTTCATTAAGTTTAGTTATGAAGCACATTTAAAAACAGCACAGTTTGACTAAAGAGCTTTACAAAGAGATTATAGAAAAGAGAAGAACAGTACTAAACTCTCCATGGACTAAAGTTCAATTCTGTCTTTTAAGAATAAGCTATGCATCAAACTCTCATGTGTTCTGTTTAATCAGAGTCTGTTACTCTAACTGTACTGAAGAGTAAATGGTGGTAAGGAAGTCTGTGTTCATATCCTGGCTCCTAACATGGATGTTCAACCTCCAACATGAATTTGGGAGCCAGCCAGGAGGGACGGGACTCTGGGACCTGCATGAAGGACAGCTCGCTCTAATGTAACGCGGGTAAATTGTCAGGGTTTGGGTTCTACATCAACATGTGTCCCCTCTTCTTCATGTCTCTTCTACATCAACATGTGTCCCCTCTTCTTCATGTCTCTTCTACATCAACATGTGTCCCCTCTTCTTCATGTCTCTTCTACATCAACATGTGTCCCCTCTTCTTCATGTCTCTTCTACATCAACATGTGTCCCCTCTTCTTCATGTCTCTTCTACATCAACATGTGTCCCCTCTTCTTCATGTCTCTTCTACATCAACATGTGTCCCCTCTTCTTCATGTCTCTTCTACATCAACATGTGTCCCCTCTTCTTCATGTCTCTTCTTCATCAACATGTGTCCCCTCTTCTCCATGTCTCTTCTACATCAACATGTGTCCCCTCTTCTCCATGTCTCTTCTTCATCAACATGTGTCCCCTCTTCTTCATGTCTCTTCTACATCAACATGTGTCCCCTCTTCTTCATGTCTCTTCTACATCAACATGTGTCCCCTCTTCTCCATGTCTCTTCTACATCAACATGTGTCCCCTCTTCTTCATGTCTCTTCTTCATCAACATGTGTCCCCTCTTCTCCATGTCTCTTCTACATCAACATGTGTCCCCTCTTCTTCATGTCTCTTCTTCATCAACATGTGTCCCCTCTTCTTCATGTCTCTTCTACATCAACATGTGTCCCCCTCTTCTTCATGTCTCTTCTACATCAACATGTGTCCCCTCTTCTTCATGTCTCTTCTACATCAACATGTGTCCCCTCTTCTTCATGTCTCTTCTACATCAACATGTGTCCCCTCTTCTTCATGTCTCTTCTACATCAACATGTGTCCCCTCTTCTTCATGTCTCTTCTACATCAACATGTGTCCCTCTTCTTCATGTCTCTTCTTCATCAACATGTGTCCCCTCTTCTCCATGTCTCTTCTACATCAACATGTGTCCCCTCTTCTCCATGTCTCTTCTTCATCAACATGTGTCCCCTCTTCTTCATGTCTCTTCTACATCAACATGTGTCCCCTCTTCTTCATGTCTCTTCTACATCAACATGTGTCCCCTCTTCTCCATGTCTCTTCTACATCAACATGTGTCCCCTCTTCTTCATGTCTCTTCTTCATCAACATGTGTCCCCTCTTCTCCATGTCTCTTCTACATCAACATGTGTCCCCTCTTCTTCATGTCTCTTCTTCATCAACATGTGTCCCCTCTTCTTCATGTCTCTTCTACATCAACATGTGTCCCCTCTTCTTCATGTCTCTTCTACATCAACATGTGTCCCCTCTTCTTCATGTCTCTTCTACATCAACATGTGTCCCCTCTTCTTCATGTCTCTTCTACATCAACATGTGTCCCCTCTTCTTCATGTCTCTTCTACATCAACATGTGTCCCCTCTTCTTCATGTCTCTTCTTCATCATGTGTCCCCTCTTCTTCATGTCTCTTCTACATCAACATGTGTCCCCTCTTCTTCATGTCTCTTCTACATCATGTGTCCCCTCTTCTTCATGTCTCTTCTACATCAACATGTGTCCCCTCTTCTTCATGTCTCTTCTACATCAACATGTGTCCCCTCTTCTTCATGTCTCTTCTACATCATGTGTCCCCTCTTCTTCATGTCTCTTCTACATCAACATGTGTCCCCTCTTCTTCATGTCTCTTCTACATCAACATGTGTCCCCTCTTCTTCATGTCTCTTCTACATCAACATGTGTCCTCTCTTCTTCATGTCTCTTCTTCATCAACATGTGTCCCCTCTTCTTCATGTCTCTTCTACATCAACATGTGTCCCCTCTTCTTCATGTCTCTTCTTCATCAACATGTGTCCCCTCTTCTTCATGTCTCTTCTACATCAACATGTGTCCCCTCTTCTTCATGTCTCTTCTACATCAACATGTGTCCCCTCTTCTTCATGTCTCTTCTACATCAACATGTGTCCCCTCTTCTTCATGTCTCTTCTACATCATGTGTCCCCTCTTCTTCATGTCTCTTCTACATCAACATGTGTCCCCTCTTCTTCATGTCTCTTCTACATCAACATGTGTCCCCTCTTCTTCATGTCTCTTCTACATCAACATGTGTCCTCTCTTCTTCATGTCTCTTCTACATCAACATGTGTCCCCTCTTCTTCATGTCTCTTCTACATCAACATGTGTCCCCTCTTCTTCATGTCTCTTCTTCATCAACATGTGTCCCCTCTTCTTCATGTCTCTTCTACATCAACATGTGTCCTCTCTTCTACATCAACATGTGTCCCCTCTTCTTCATGTCTCTTCTACATCAACATGTGTCCCCTCTTCTTCATGTCTCTTCTACATCAACATGTGTCCCCTCTTCTTCACGTCTCTTCTACATCAACATGTGTCCCCTCTTCTTCATGTCTCTTCTTCATCAACATGTGTCCCCTCTTCTTCATGTCTCTTCTTCATCAACATGTGTCCCCTCTTCTTCATGTCTCTTCTACATCAACATGTGTCCCCTCTTCTCCATGTCTCTTCTTCATCAACATGTGTCCCCTCTTCTTCATGTCTCTTCTTCATCAACATGTGTCCCCTCTGTGTAAAGAGACTCTGAAAGTTTCAGGAACAAAGATTCTCTCTCTTTGTCATTTCTATAAAAACCTGTCTGAAAATGAGCTGATCAGATTTTGGCCACTTTATGATGTCATAACCATGTTTTGGCTTGTGTAACCATTAGCCAATCAGCAACCAAGGTAACGTACAGACATGGGGTGAACACCTTTCAAATAAAACAGAAATATATTGAAACAAAATCTAAAAAACAATGACCTTTTGCTATTTCTTTAATATTTTGAATCGTACCGTAATACAATAAATGTAAAACTGTGATGTTTCTTTAACTCTAAATACAATATTCTTAATCTTGAGAGCTAGCTTTTGTTCATTTAATCAGTTTCGTCCTTACTAAGTATTAATAGAGCAAATGAAAAAAACAGCAACCATCTGATATTACACGTCACCACCGCTAAGCTAAAGGTGGCTAATGTTGGGCTATAAAGGAACTACAGCACGGTCACATGACTTCACGTCACCACCGCTAAGCTAAAGGTGGCTAATGTTGGGCTATAAAGGAACTACAGCACGGTCACATGACTTCACGTCACCACCGCCAAGCTAAAGGAGGCTAATGTTGGGCTATAAAGGAACTACAGCACGGTCACATGACTTCACGTCACCACCGCTAAGCTAAAGGCGGCTAATGTTGGGCTATAAAGGAACTACAGCACGGTCACATGACTTCACGTCACCACCGCTAAGCTAAAGGTGGCTAATGTTGGGCTATAAAGGAACTACAGCACGGTCACATGACTTCACGTCACCACCGCTAAGCTAAAGGTGGCTAATGTTGGGCTATAAAGGAACTACAGCACGGTCACATGACTTCACGTCACCACCGCTAAGCTAAAGGTGGCTAATGTTGGGCTATAAAGGAACTACAGCACGGTCACATGACTTCACGTCACCACCGCTAAGCTAAAGGTGGCTAATGTTGGGCTATAAAGGAACTACAGCACGGTCACATGACTTCACGTCACCACCGCTAAGCTAAAGGTGGCTAATGTTGGGCTAGTTCTGGTAGGCGACGATAGGTTGGGGCGGGACGTTGCCAGGAGTTCAACGTAAAGCCAGCCCACATTTTAGTAATGTCGTCATGACGCAGCAAATCTGGATCCGTTGTTCCCTCGTTTTTAGAGATGTGGGTACGGAGGAAAAGAGAGAGGGTTTTATTTCTGACACTTTGTGAGTCTCCTGACACACCGGGGACACATGTTTATGTATAAAAGACATCCGAAAGTGCATTTTGCATGACAGGAGACCTTTAAAATAACATTTATATTATAGGTAGATGTGCCTGAATTCTCTCTTTTGTTTTCACAGTTTTTGCCACCAATGCATTGACTCTGACCACATCCTGTTTGTGAAACAGGAAACAGAGAAAGGTGTCACCTGGTTGCCTCCGTTCCTCTGCCAGTACTTGAAAAGGCTCATGAAAGAAGACGCAGATAAAGCTCTATGCAGATGGCGCCTGATTATATCACATAATATAATAATATCAAATAAAGTACTTCTTAGGCGTAGGCACCACGAGGACGAAAACGGGTTGAATCCGCATATTTCTCATGCGTATAGCCCTTTAAGCTCGACGACGCCGTAACAGAAACGTAGAAACAGACCCCGCAAACGACAACGGGTCCAAAGGTGGATAGATCTGGGAACTGAGTGCTCTGGGGGGTCAAACGGGGCCGTGGGGTCGCCTATACGGTCATGCGTTTCATAGCCCCGCCTCTCCCCGCCTCTCCCCACCTCTGCTGCTCACCCCCGCAAAAGTACACTGCACACTGAATTCAGATTATTTATCTTTATCTCGATATGAACATAAACGCGAGTGAAGTCTAATCTGACAGGACGGAGACACGCAGCTCCTCCGGCTGTGAAGCAGCGAGAGCAAAACACACACTTCAAGTCAGATCATCACCCTTAGCTATTTTAAATACCTCTCAAACTAAACTAGTTATAAATATGTTTATTTTTACTGTCGGGTTTACTTACTGGATCAGCTGCTGCATGAGGAAGCATGAAGATTTAAACTTTAACACACATTGACCGGCGAAAAACTCTGCGCGGTTCCCTCGGCCCC